TTAGTTGACCGAAATGTCGGTGTCACCCTCTAAACTGCATGCCACTTCTTGAGTTTGGGTTATTATTATTATTATTATTATTATTATTGTTATTATTATTATTAGAGGGGGTGGGTTTCCCCATGCACTGAGACCAGTTATTGGGCCATTGTGCGTCCCCCTTTAATTTCTACTGTCGCCATACCCTACCCGTACTGGTACGTGCTATCAGCCCCTTTCAGCCAACGAGGTCGGCCGGAGGACTTGTTCCCTGAATTTTTCCGCCCTTAAAAATTCCACGACTTCCGCCGGGTTTGAACTCGCGTACCTTGAGTCATGAGGTGGGAACGTTACCCCTAGACTACGGAGCCTCTTTGAGTTTGCGTTAATAATATATAAAAAAGCAACTTCCATATAAGTTACTTCCTGTCTCAAGACCATTCTGCGTTTATTTGGTCAGCGTTGAGACCAGAATTAGATAACCACTCAGGATCGTGGGACAGATATTCTGATCTTTAGTAATTAATTTTTATTTATTTGGCAAATTTCTCTCATTCAACTACATGTAAATAAACCCAGCACTTGATACAGACTCCTTCAAATAATAATTAATATCGCTCAGTGGTTTACTGTACCAGCCCCAGATGACAAGAATGGAGCAATTGGTGTATTTAGAACTTTGAAAAGACTACCCCAGATACACTTTGTCTACCCCAAATCCCACATGACCTGACCTGGGATCGAGCCCGGGAAGCTGGAGACTGACCTGCAGAGCTATGACACGGCCTTATCCATAGAAATCATAGCCAGAACTATGTCTTTGGGGTATAAAGCAAGTTTTAACGCCACTGACACTAAGAGTATATCTTATTTACTTCGGTCCAGTTCACATTTTCGGAACCGCTTCATCTAGCCACAAAAAATTTCCTGTATCTTCCGTTGGGCCTTTAAATGACCGCATTCGAGCTTTCCGCACTGAAATTCTCTACGTATTATTAACTCCCCTCTTCCGATATACATTTTTGTGCCTAAAATGTTATAACTATCCACCACAGCAATGAAATAAGGTAAAGCTATCCTTGTTACAAGCCCTGGAGGCCCATAGGTTTGTGAGACGTCGAGGCTCCCACATTTTCTAGACAATCGGCTCACAGAGGGCGGTAAGGTTGTCAGCCTTATGCGCCGGCCGCCCTTTACCCCCAGGAAGATTCCTGGTACTCATTTCTGTTAGAGGCTGAGTCGACCCCATGGCCATTTTGCGGCTGAAATGATTAGGTCAACTGAAAACTTAATTGACTTCATCGGGAATCAAAACCGCGACCTTCCGGCTTGTAGCCTAGTGCCTTAACGAACTACACTACCACGCGTCAACGAGTTCTTTTATATACGACGTTTTAAATAAACAGCCGTTACTAGTAATACACAAAACAAGAGGCTTGTTTTCAAATTCCAAGTTCATGCAAGGTCAGAAAAATTGATTTTCGATTCATTAGCTGTCTGCACATGAAAGGAAGTACTACACAGCGTCCGCTTTGCACTGCAGGAGTGCCGTGGTAAACAAATCAACATAATTAGCAGTTGCTAAACGAAAGTGACACTCGATCAAGAAGCCAAAATATGAGGTAAAATTCGAAGAAATTAACTGTCTCAAATATTTTTACTTCTCCCACGAATCTACATAAAGTTTACTCCAGAATTATTTAAGAACACCGCATCAACTGTTGTGGCTATTTTCCCCTCATATAAACCATGTTTTTTTTTTTTAATTCGCTTAGTGGTGGGTGGAGTCCAGTTGGGTCCACTCGGCGCACGGCGGCTACTGATTGGCCTATTGTAGCTGCCCCGGGTGATTATGATGATTGAGAATTTGGTGGAATGAAGATTGGCAGGGGAAACCGAAGTACTCGGAGAAAACCTGCCCCAGCGCCACTTTGTCCACCACAAATCCCACCATAAACCATATTAGTCCAACTACGTAAGATTCTGAAAATACTGAATCATATATATACCATACGGGGCACGCGGTAGCGTAGTTGGTTGAGGCACTGTGCTACAAGCCGGAAAAGTGTGTTAAAACTGCTACACTGTTTTAATTCGTGTTAAAATCACACGCTGTAGTCTTCTTTTTAAGTAAAATAAATGATTTTAACACAGTTTTAGTAAAATATCTGTAACATAAAAGCACCTGANATGTTTTAACACAGTTTTAGTAAAATATCTGTAACATAAAAGCGTCTGAAGATAGCCGTTTGAGCCCGAAACATCTAGTGCTGAAGTGTAGAATGTAAAAGTGTTGCATTTTTGACGGAAGATAAACAATGGACGCTAACCATCATAATCTTTAATAATCAAATCTAGAGGTCTATAATAATTTTATTTCACCTCTGAATAAAGAATTTTTATAATCTATGGAAAAGACCGTCACAAGAAACCATGTCCCCACACTTAAGTGAAAATATGAACATTTCTAGAACAGGCTATTAAGATTACGGTTTTTTGAGATATGATGCCGTGTAGTTTGGTAAATAGGTACTGGTGTTTCAGAGGAACACGCTACCTTCATGTTCATTGCAGAAGAAAATATAAGCAGGTCTTTCCTCTGAAACGTCCGTAAACGTCTGACAAAATATACGTTGTCATATCCCAGAAGCTCAGTGTTAACATCTACCACCACCAGAATTTCAAGGATTCAGTACAAAGACTGGTTGTCTCCTATTCCAGCTGAAATTTATTTCTAATTTCGTTCATAAATATACAGCATTTTTCAACGTGTAAGTGGAAAAACGAAGGATTCAAGCGATTAGCAACGAGTGTCCTGCATATCCGAAACAGGAACTAGGCATTAGCATGAAGGCTCTAAGGACCTTACAACAATGGTTATGAAAGGTAATATCTTCAGGGATATAACGCTGTATGGGCCGTTTAGTGTCAACGGACGTTTTTGCTTGCCACTTGTTTCACGCCAGTTTCTTGCTTGGCTTATTCTTAGACCTTAAAGACGGAGGCGATCTATTCCTCCGAAACGTCGGTTGATTTTTAACGATCTACACTGCGTTGTATCTCATGAGATATAGCTCTTCATGCATTCGCATATCACATATGTTTCAATATATATATATAGAGGGTTAGAGGATATTGATAAATGTTTTCAACAACTAACCTTGCATTTCAAATCCTTCTCTCTGGCATTCATAGGGCGACATCTTACTATTACTTTCACGCTCTCCGCCATGTTGAATGACTTCCTGCAACATATAAATAAGACCTGTTGTCAGTAATCTATCGTAATGTAAGTTAGGAATTTCATGGAAAGGATTATATGGCAAAGATAAAAGAGCAGAAATTTGCTTACGTGATGTGTGCGTATTAAATTTAACAATTCACACTATGCTAAGCTTATTATTTTACATTTTTGAAGTACTGAGGAATTATAAGGAGCATAGGATATTCGTTTCCGGGCTTAATGATGTGTTTCATATTGCGAGTCGTTGGGAATAAATAAAAGGTTTCTGGAAAGGAGCTCCTGCCATGAATCTAAATTGCTGTCTCGATAGGAATAACATTGTATGTAAGATTTGAGGCTTTCACGGCGGTGACTATGAAGAAAGCAGTCTTCTGGGATTTGGCACCGTGTATATGTGGTGTTAACCGACGTTTCGGAGGAACGTATCGCCTCCATCTTCAGGGTAGAAGAAAAAATATANCGTGTAGATACTGTGGCAACCGACGTTTCGGACGAACGTATCGCCTCCATCTTCGGGGTAGAAGAAAAAAGAAGAAATCCGCGAGCGAGCCAGCGTGAGCAGTGCTAACAGACTAATTCCAGTCGAGTAAACCCAGCTCTATGCTCAAACCTCAAATCTTACATATATCTTCGAAATTTACAGTATTTTTATGAAGGTTGGTAAGGTATTATGGATTTCCATAATACAATTGTTTTAATGGCATCCGTTATTTTTCGAACTTTTACATAGAGCATGGTGGCAAATATAGTAATAGGACTTGCGTGTAAAGAGCAAAACGCGTGTCTTAAGGGTTTCCCTACATTACTGCCAACTTAATCTCATGAACGATATTCTGGACTCCCAGAAGTAACGATTAACCACCAGAAAACCATTAGGAAATGTTTCTTTATAATTCCACAAAAACAGTGTTATCGTGGTGTGCCATCTAGTGTGGAGTAACGACACTAACAGTCTGTGCTCAAATGCACAATGGGGAACTTCATAACTTGTACTTATCGCCATATATACGAGTAATTTGAACCAAGTCAAGGGGGGTAAAGTGAGCAGGGCGTGTAGAACAAATAGGAGATAATAGGAATGCATAGAGGATATTCGTGGGAAAGCCAGATGGAAAGAGACCACTAGGAAGACCAAGACGTAGGTGGATGGACAATATTAAAATGGCTCTTAGAGAGATAGGTTGGGGTTCTATGGACTGGGTTCAGAATAGGAACAAGTGGAGGGCTCTTGTCAACACGGTAATGAAACTTCGGGTTTCATAAAATACTGGAAATTTCTTGAGTAGCTGCACAATTGGCAGTTTCTCAAGAAGTGCTCAGCTCTATGAAGTTAGTCAGTTTAAGTTCAGAGTTTTAGTATTGTTTTGATTTGATGGTTGTGTTCGCAATAGCTAAAACCTGTGCAGTGGGGTCAACTTAAAGAAACATACCAAAAAAATTGGTTGATTGATTATTAGGATGTTTTGGAACTGTTAAAATGTTATAACGATGAATTACATGTGGTTACGTTAATGACTTAGAAAGAAACGGTTATGACCTGCTTAAATGCCCATCATTATACTTGGAGAGAATGGGGAAAACCACGAAGAAATTTAATCAATTTCGGGTCTACCCCAATTTCGAAACATATACCTTCTGAGTACCATTGAAAGTTTTTATTGTTTTACCAGTCTTCACGGCGCATATGTAGGGTTTAGGAGTATATGCAACGCATTAAATGTACATTCTGACCTTGACCTTATTTTACTCTCAAATCACTACCTCTGTTTCTACAGAGCAGAAACATCTTATATATACATAATAGGTTCTTGGTTTATAATTTACTTGTGTTATGAATGAATATACGTCAACGGTAGTAGTTAAGAACAGGACCAGACGATGACAGCAGTAAGCGGTACCTAAAATCCATATACAGAATGTAATATTTATTTAACCCCCGCATTATTTTACGAGATGTGATACTGTACCCTGCACCACGAGCTACCCTACTTGTTTATTCTAAGTTGTTCGTTTCCTGTATGGGGTAGTCTAGACCCCGAAATTCTGAGTGAATAAAAAATAAGTTCACCCTTTTGGGGAGAGACGTGCTTATGGGCACTTCCTGTAGATATTCTCCCCTCGTGATTTCAAAAATCATTTTAATTGGAATCCTCATTTAGAATTCCTATGACCATCCAGCGCTCCATAGGTCTGAATGGTCAAACTCTTCTTTAAGGACGACGAATCAAATGTCGATCCTGAATCTGACTACGCCCTCAATAGGCGTGTCTCTGGATGTCCAAGCACCAAGTTCGGGGTTCGAATCCCTTTAAAAACTCAGGCTTTGCCAGCCACGGCGGACACCACGCTAAACTTTTGACTTGTTCACTTCGGTCGGACTCCTCGCCAGTTTAATCACTATCTTCACGTATTTGTGTGTTACTACTGAACTTCAGTGCGGCATCATCGAGTAGTACACTCAGCACCTCCCTGGAGGCTACCTCTCACTACCTGCCGAATCCTATCGCGTTGGTGCATGGTGCACTCACATCCTTTTGTTCATTTATCAATTGACTATAATTACTATTCCTAATGTAACTTTGTATAAGCATTTGATTCAATACATCATTCTATTAACCTGAAAACCGACTTCCGAAGACTTGAATTTCAATTCTTAAGTGCTCCAACGATCCCAGTCCACAAGACTTCCGCTCGGTCTACAAGTACTTCCCATCACTATCCTTCGGGATACAACANTGGGTGGTAGACTTCACGCCCCGGCCGATTTAGCCCCAGGGAAAGAGCCCCTGGTACCCATTGTATAGGAGGTTGGGTGGACCCCAGAGCCGGTCTCGACGACATGAAGAAGAGAAAATTCTAGGCTCTACCGGAACTCAAACTCCGACCCCTCGGTCGTCCACCCCGTAGCCAGTCGCTATATCGACTACGCTATCCCGGCGATTATAAAATAAAATCTTGCTGGTTTCTAATGATGACGTAAAGGACTAGCCCACTAACTGTTTATGATGCCCTTGTTCTGATAGAATGTTTTTATTGCTAGTGGGGTGGGACTAAGTCCCTTGTACTGCGGCCACTTCTGGCCTATTGTACCAGCCCCAGATGATAGGTGAGGGTGATTGTGGAGCAACTGGTGGAATGAAGATTGGCAGGGGAAACCTACTTGGAGAAAACCCGCCCCAGCGCCACTTTGTCCACCACAAATCCCACTTGACCAGACCCGGGATCGAACCCGGGCCGCCGCGGTGGGAAGCCAGCGACTATCCGCTTGAGCTATAGCGCGGCGGTCCTGTTAATAGATGGAGTGTACCAATTCGTTTGGCAATGCAATCTCGACATGTGCCAACAAGAGTCGCGTAACATTCACATCCGAAGAAATCGTGCTTTCGAAATGTCTTTCGAAGTTTATGTATTATAAATTAACAGTTGATTAGTTTATGGACTATCTGTGGAGACTGTAGTTGGATATGAGAATTGTGAAATTTGCCTTTGATTTATCAACTTCCTACTAGTAGAGTAGATACATATCAGACTTAGAGGAGCATTAAGCATCACTGCATGAAGTTAGTTCTAGTGGTAAGTGACGTTTGAATGTTAAAGTTTTGGCTGAAGACTCAGCCTCTAACAGAAATGAGTACCAGGAATTAATTAAATAATTTTCCTGGGGAGTAAAGCGCGGCCGGCGCGTAAGGCTGACAACCTTACCGCCATCTATGAGCCGATTGTCTAGAAAATGTGGGAACCTCAACGTCTCACAACCCTATGGGCCTTCACGGCCTGTTACAGGGAAAGTTTTACTTTACTTTAAAAGGAGTACAAATTTTTACTGTTTCATCGCAATCTCCTCCTCCCCCTGTGAATATATGCTACCTGCAAGTACAAATTTGGACTGAGTCTAGGTATTCCCCTTGAGAGGTGGTATCCTGCGACTGATGCACTCCGTCACCACTGCAGAATTTCATGATTGATATTGGGCCAGACGAATTGAACCCGTCAGCTTTGTGGAACAGTCATAAATCAGACGGGGCAACGACAGGTCGGGTGGGTGCAGAAACTCCGTAACTCCTTTGTCAGTGAGAAGGTTATTGGACAACAAATTGTACAGCTAAACTGTGGCCACAAAACGTACACACGACGACCATAGTTGAGGCGAGTTTTTATCCTGGCAACAACAGCAGCAGCAGAAGAAATCGCATGTCGAGGAACTGTGAGCTCCTGGTCGGAACGTATTTATATCACTCAGAATTACTGGGTTTTTGTACTTTTTCCATATTCCGGTATTCTAGAAAACAGAAAAGACGTTTCGGAAACTGGATCGTGGAAGGGAAGACACCTACTCAGATGGGCCCTTCAGAAAGTGCTAATGTAAATCACTTAGACTTTTACTTAGTTTTTAGACTTTTTCCATCATCCGGTATTCTAGAAAATAGAAAACACGACGTTTCGGAAACTAGGTCTGTTTTCGTCCTCAAGTGAGTTTGGGAGAAAAAACTTATTCAGTTGGGTTCCTTAGAAAGAGCTAACCTCTAGTGTCTGAGGGACCCAACTGAACAGGTGTTTCCCCCCCTCTCTTGAGGACGAAAACAAATCCATTTTCCGAAATGTCATGTTTTCTGTTTTCTAGAATACTGGACGATGGAAAAAGACAAAAAAAAAAAACAGTAAAATTCCAGTGATTTTGGTTAGCTGTTTCTAAGGGACCCATCTGAGTAGGTGTCTTCCCCCCACCTCACTTGAGGATGGAACCAGATTCAGTTTCCAAAACGTCGTGTTCTCTAGACTCTAGAATACCGGAAGACGGAAAAAGTAAAAAAACCCAGTGATTCTGAGTGTTACACGCCATCGTCAGAACCCTCTAGCTTTTAATTTTCGTATCAGTCGAGCTGAGCTTCACCTTCGTCAAGTTTTTAATTAGATGGAGACAGACTACAGGCGTTACTTGAAATGGATGAGCTACCGGGTTCTGTTCTCTGGGGCGTCACATCGTGTATACAGTTACAAGTC